GAATTATGGGTTTTCCTCCTTAAGCCCTTGCAAAGCTTGATTCGAGCCATTTCCAGGGAACCTGGGTATGGACCTGGCCAGAGCCCATCCACCTGGCCAGTATTTAAGTAAAACTTGCCTCAAATTTGGCTTTAAACTGTGGTAGTGGCCTCCATCCATGTGATTAATGGCATTCCCATAACCCCAGCACTCTTGAGCCTCCTGCCTCCAGTTCCCCAAAACCTTACTTCATTTTGGGTTTTTTGTCTTGGTCTGGTCTTTTGCTTTTTTGAAACAGAATCTCACTATGTAACTCTAGCTGGCCTCAAACTTGCTAGGAGGACCTGGCAGGCCTCGAACTCACAAAAATCCACCTACCTCTGTCTTCTCAAGTGTTGGGATTAAGAACCTGCACCACCTTGCTGCCCAGCTTCTCTTATTTTCACTCACCATTCATACCTAATCTTTTAAGGTCAGATAACAGACCTTATCTCTAAGTCATGTGTTGGTGTACTTTTATAATCCCAGCACTCCAGAGGCTGAGGTAGATTGCCAGGAATGTGAAGCCAGCCTGGGCTACACAGTGAGTTACAGGAATGAAATAATGGGTACTTTTCCAAGACACAATTGTTTTGTCTGTGATGATGGGGGTCTCGACTTTAAGCAAAGTCAAAGAAATAAAGTGTTACTGTTATCTGTTTTCTTTTTTATTTATGTATACAAGTGTTTGCCTATGTGTCTATATGTACACAAGGTGCCCGTTCAGGAGATGACACTGGATCCCTTGAAACTGGCATTACAGATGCCTGCAAGCCACCATACGGATGCTGAAAACCAAACTCAGGTCCTCTGGTCCTCCGCAAGAACAGTCAGTGCCTTAACCATTAAGACATCTCTCCCGCCTCGTCTTTTGTTGTTGTTTTAGGATTTTATTTTCTTTTTGAACAATGTTGATTATTACTTACCTTCTTACAACTGTGAAAATCTAAAGGATGTTTCCCCAACTCTCCTCCCACCTCTCTTTTATTTATTGGCAGGGGGTCAGGGCTCTTGCGTGCACACATATGGAGGTCTGAGAAGAACTTGTGAGAGACCAGGTGGGGCTTGGGAAGCAAACTCTTGTCAGATTAGCAGCAAGCGCTTCTAACCATTGAACCATCTTGTTGCCCCGCCCCCCGCCCCTCCTCCTCCTCCTCCTCCTTCTCCTCCTCCTCCTCCTCCTTTTTCTTCTTCTTCTGTATTTTTAAGACAGGGTCTTACCCTGTAATTCTGGCTGTCCTGGAACTCACCACTTAGACCAGGCTGGCCTTGAACTCACAGAGATCCACCTGTCTCCCAAGTACTGGGATTAAAGGCATGCGCCACCACCATGAAAGGCATGGTCTCACTATATAATTCAAGCTAGCCTAGAATTCAAAACATAGCCCAAGCTGACCTAGAACAGGGAGCAATCTTCCTGTCTCAGCCTCCCAAGCACTGGATTCCAGACCCAAGTTACCACACTCAGCCACCTAATCATTTTTTGTTAATTTGTTTCCAAAGTTCCCGTTACATTTATCCACTCATTTATTTATTTGTGTGTATACACCTGTGTATGTGAGTGTGTGTTTAACACTAGAAGAGAGGTGAAATGTATCTCAGTGACAGAGGGCTTACGGGGTGTGAGTAAGCCCTGGGTTTTAGGGAGTGACTACTAGGATTTATCTCAGTAGGATATCTGTTAATTACCTGGTTTTAGAGAAAAAGAAACAGAGACTCTGAAACAGGGTAGGCTTCCCCAGGGTCTCTCAGCAGCAGGGCCCGAAATTCTGGCCTCACAGCTCAGCCACACGGGGGGGGGGGGGGGGGGGGGGGGGGGGGAGAAACCACAAAGCAAAAAAGGAGAACAAGACCTTCTTCATCTCAAAGAATAGCCTGTACCCTGAGAGCGACTGGAGGCCTGACAGTGCCTCTGGGGAGTGTTGGGACAGATTGGGCAGGCCAGACAGGGTAGGGAAGGTATCTTGGAAACAGTGCCCCTCAGTCTCAGCAGCCAGGTAGGAGGTTACTGTGTCATGGGACGTGGCTTTGATTCCGAGTCTTAGCCCACTAGCGCCTTCTCTGACACTGTCGTACTCACTTTGGGTTATACCCTAGCATCACCTGGGGAGCCCCAGTACCCTGGGGTGGCAACCACCTCTTGACACCTTTTCTAATTCCCTAGAAGGTTCCAGTAGCTTCCTATCCTTACAACCCACTGTTCTATAGAACTAAAGTGTATGCAGAGGACCCACGGACTCATTAAAATACGCAGTGAGCCAGCCTGGTGGTGGCTCACCTTTAATCCCGAAACTCCGGAGGCAGAAGCAGGTGGATCTCTGTGAGTTCAAAGGACGGTTTGTTTGGTCTGCAGAGTGAGTTCCAGGATAGACAGGGCTACACAAAGAAATCCTGTCTCGGAAAATATAGAAGAAAACCAAAACCAAAAAGCAGGATCATGGCCTTCTCCTCTCCCCACCACGTCTTATGCCCACGCCCTCACATCAGTGCAGAGTCATCTGGAAAAAATGTCACTTTGTTCTAAACTCCCAGTCTAGGCCGGGTGGTGGTGGTGGTGGTAGCGCATGCTTTTAATCCCAGCACTCGGGAGGCAGAGACAGGCAGATCTCTGTGAGTTTGAGGCAGACCTGGTCTACAAGAGCTAGTTCCAGAATTGTAAAACAGAGAAACCCTGTTTTGAAAAAAAAAAAAAAAAAAAACAAAAACAAAAAGCTCCCAGACTATTGGACTGGATACTGTGAACTTTGTTCACACCAACTTGAGGAAAAACAACAGGCAGCCCTATGTGGTCGTCAGAGCAGTGCTGAATCCCAGGAGGCTGGTGGAACTGTGACTCAAGTTCCCAGAGTTGCAGGTGGTGGGACCCACAGTCGTAGCCGTGGTGCCTTTGGAAGTATGTGTCAGGGAGGGGAGGCTGTATGTTTGTTGGCACCACAGAAAAGAAATGGAACCAAAAATGATTTTGACAGCCTTACCAGGTTTGACAGTTCTAAACGTCCTTGGTGGTGGAAGATAAGATTGAAGGTTGAAGATAAGATAACACGTTCAGCAGCAACTTAAAGCGTGGAATGAAGTCAAAAAAAAAAAAAAAGTCTATACCTCAGAGAACAAGAGCTGGCAAGGGTAAAATGAGAAACCAATGCCGCAGCCAGCGCAGAGGGCTCTGCAGCATCTCAGGAAGATAATGGTACCCTCAAGGCCAGAAACATCCCTGGTATTACTCTGCTAACTGTAAGAAACTAAACATTTGAAACTTGCTCCTAGTGGGCATGTGGGATGATACTACATCTGAACTGAAAGCGCTTCCTGAATGTTAGGTGAGTCCCACGGCACTGGCGCTTGGCATAAATCTGCTTCCCTCAAACGTAACTATAAGCCAGTAGGTGGTGGCGCACGCCTTTAATCCCAGGCAGAGGCAGAGGCAGGCGGATCCCTGTGAGTTCGAGGCCAACCTGGTCTACAGAGGGAGTTCCAGGACAGGCTCAAAAGCTACAGAGAAACCCTGTCTCAAAAAAAAAAAATTAAACAAACATTCCCCCGTACAAGATGATGAGCACAGACCTTGGCCCATCCAAGCACCACACAAGAAGATTCATCATAGGGGGAGGAAGTAGAATCCACTGAAGAATCTGAGAATCCTGTTGAAGCTGAACCCTTATGCAAAGACTACATGCAGGAATGCCATTCTTCGCCAGACCAGGACGCGCAAACACTACATGAAGAAACTGGAAGCAGCAGCAACAGCTGCAGCAGCAACAGCTGCAGCAGCAGTGCTGGCAGCTGAATCGGGCAGAGAAGGGGCCTGCAGAAACTAAGAAAGAAAAGTTAAGACACTGAAAAAGACTGCAGAGAAAAGGCTACCACTGTCAAGAAACCAGCAACTGAGAAGAAACCAGCAGAGAAGAAGCCTATAACAGAAGGAAAAAATGCTGTATATAAACTATTAAAAATCTGTTTCAGCCTGTTTGATTCAAAACCTGATCTAAGATGCAATGAGGAAAAAAATGCAGCAAGCCATTTAGCAATCTGGATGGAGCCCAATAATTTGCATTTAAAAAAAAATCACATAGCTTCCCTAGGCCCAGCCCTGTGGCTCACACCTGTAATTCCAGCAAGTAGGAGGTGGAAGCAGGAAGATGGGAGTAAGTTCAGGACATCCTTGACTACATTGAGATTGAGGCCAACCTGGGCTATGTAAGATCTTATCTCAAAAAAAAAAAAACCCAACAAATAATATATAAATACCCCCACCATGAGCCAGTGTCACCAGCCAGTACTCAACACCACAGTTTCAGTAGTATCGAGGCTCAGGAAATATTACCCAAGGTATGGGGCACATTGTGTGCTGGGCACTTTCAGCTGAAGGACACTGGAAGACCTTCAGATCTGCCTGACTCTTCTCCTGCCCTTCTTCTGCTCAGCACCTTGCTCAAATCCAAGCTACGAACCTAAAATAGTCTCCTACCCAAGGCAAACCCTAGAAGCCAGGACCCATCTTCCCCAAAACCAACCATAAAACCTAGGAATGCAACTGTCCCTTTCCTCTGCCTTCCGACAGAGCAGCTCAGCACACACAGGTCTCCAACCTACCTTATCTGAAAGTGGATCATAAGATCCTCATCCTGGAATAGGTCTTTCCCCACATGGGGAGGACAGAATGACACACGCATACACACACACACACACACAGAGAGAGAGAGAGAGAGAGAGAGAGAAAGAAAGAGAGAGAGAGAGAGAAAGAGAGAGAGAGAGAGAGAGAGAGAGCGCGCACTGATATCTGAGTAGGCCTTTCAGAGTCTCCCCATCTCAGTCTATCACTTGACATGGAAGTAAAAACTTTACATTGGTATGAATGTTGGTTAACTGATACAAATTTAAGGTCAATTTTGTTATATTATATGTATATTTCTGCTTTTGTATAAGGTATTATGTTTATACAGCTCATTCCAAAACTGCAATGTATAGTAAAGAAATACAAATTAGTGCTCGCTTCGGCAGCACATATACTAAAACTGGAATGATACAGAGATTAGCATGGCCCCCGCACAAGGATGACACACAAATTAGTAACACGTTCCATAGGGGGGAGCGGAAAGAAATACAAATTAATAGTCATAGCCAGGTGGTGACGGCACATGTCTAAATTTTAATCCCAGCACTCGGGAGGCAGAGGCAGGTGGATCTCTGTGAGTTCAAGGCCAGCCTGGTCTACAAGAGCTAGTTCTAGGACAGGCTAGATAGCTATAGTGAAACTCTGTCTTGGGGTAGGAGGGCAGTCCTTCAGGGTTCCTGCTTCACTGAGAAATCTGCCAAAGATGGATGCCCCAATGTTACAAAAAAACTTTGGGTGACTATCCAGGCAGCCAGATGTCTCTGTCATTTCTAGAATTTTGGAAGTTGCTTACAATGCACTTCCTGTTTACTAAGGTAATATTATATCCTTCTGGAGTCTTTGATGGAGTTAAATACTAAATAGTTATAATTATAACTTTCCATAGTTATAATAAAAGATAAATTAGATATGACACTTTAGACTCACAAAGATAGGATAGGTTATGGAGTATTTAATTTGTCAAATATCAATAGATTAAATATTGTAACTTAATCTTTGCTTGATAACCATTTTTATATGTAATTTTAAAATGTCAAAGTTAAATCCTTCCTTTTCAATTAGACAGAAAGGGGAGATGGTGTGGGATGCCCTTCTGTATGCTGTAAATATGTTTTATTAGCATTGGTTAATAAAGAAGCTGCTTTGGCAGGGCAGAGTATAGCTGAGGAGAAGTCCAAAAAAAGATAAAGGGAAAAAGAAGGCAGAGTTGAAGAGATGCCAGCAGCCAGAGGGGAAGCAGGATATGAAGTAACAAGCCACGAGCTTTGTGGTAAAATCAGAGTATTAGAAATGTGTTAATTTAAGTTGTAAGAGGTAGTTAATAATAAGCCTGAGCTAACTGGTCAAACAATTTGTAATTAATATGTTTCTGTGTGATTTCTCGGGACTGAGTGGCCAGGAAAAGAAAGCCTAGCATCTGGTTATAATCACTGATAAGTAGCTAGGCAGGTAAGTCTGGCTTGAAGATCATGAGGCTGTAGCCCTCCCCTCATAAGTAGGGGTATATAAAGCCAAGAGACAAACTACAAAATTTGGATTGCTGGCCAAAATAGTGGGATTTAGGTCCTATCTCTGGCTCTTGGTAGAGGCATGTTCTAAACTGCCTCCAAAGATTACTATCTAATCAAGCCTCTCTGGTAAAGAATAAGAATATAGTGCCAGGTGGTGGTGCACACCTTTAATCCTAGCACTTAGGAGGCAGAGGCAGGCAGATCTCTGTGGGTTCAAGGCTAGCCTGGTCTATAGAGTGAGTTTCAGGACAGCAAGGGCTATTACAAAAAAAAAAAAAAAACCTGTTTTTAAAAACAAACAAACAAAAAGGACACACCGTTGTCCCCTCCCTTGAGGATTAATTCAAATGGGCCTGTCAATCACCGAAAGAGAAAAACATCCCTCAGAGTACCTGTCCCCAAAACTTCCAGGACAGTGGTCTCGTGGTGCTGTCTTGGCGCCATCCACTGTCCACTCTCAGCTCTCGAGGGTGCTTTGCTCTGCCGTAATAAACTATGAGTCTTCCACACTACTCTGTGCCATGGGTTTCATCTGGATCTTTCTGTAGACCGAAGAGAGGCCAGAGCAAGGTCCTGCTGACATTCCAGTTAGGTGGCTCCGTTCTTTCTTCAGTCACAACTCTTTCTGGCTGTACTGCTCTCCACTCTTTACCCCAGCCAAAGCAAAGGACAGTTGTCCTGGGACCATTTTATAGAGGATGAGGGGTTTTGGTACCAGAGATTGAACACAGGCCTCACTTGCTAGCTGAGCTACATCCCACACCTGGCCCTTTTCAGTGATTTTTGATTTAAGACTTAGGACTTATTTTTAATCTCCGCAGATGGGTGGGGAGCGCCATCTATAGGCAGAAGAGGTTGTCTAGTCCCCTGGAACTGGAGTTACAGGCTGTGAGCCTCACAGTGTAGGTGCTGAGAACTGGAGTCTGGTCCTCTAGGCACACTGCTGCTCGTGGTCACTGCCTCATCAACCCTGAGAGAGAGTCTTGCAGCTGGTGTTTTTAGCACAAAAACCCAACTTTAGCCATCCCGACTCCCTAGGCTCTGCCACCTGCCTCACCAATTAAGAGTAACAGTGAAAAGCAGATTCCGTCAATGTGGTCACACCACGAAGAGGAAAAGATAGAGGATCCGGTGGCCCAAGTCCATTTAGGGGGGTACTTTTTTCCTTTTCTTTTCTTTTTTTTTTTTTTTGTTTTTGTTTTTTTGAGACAGGGTTTCTCTGTAGCTTTGGAGCCTGTCCTGGAACTTCCTCTGTGCAGACCAGGCTAGCCTTGAACTCACAGAGATCCACCTATCTCTGCCTCCCAAGTGCTGAGATTAAAGGCACACGCCACCACCACCCAGCCTCCTGCACCTTGTTTTAGGCATGGTTTGGGATCAAGCCCGGGCCCCCAGGCATGCTGTGCTGACCCTCTACCCACTGAACTCCATGACTATCATCATCTTTCGATATGGGAGTATAGGCTGTGACTTTTATGGATCCTATAGTAGCAGGTACACATGCCTCTGGGCAGCAGCTACCATTTTGCCCATTTTTCAGCTCTCATTCTTACCTACCGAGAAGTCTTTCCAGACCCATGCCCTGCTGTTTTTACGAAAAGCTGGACTGAGCGTTAAAAGTCCCTTAAGCCTTGAGGGCTGGGTTCAAATACTATATTAATTTACCAATTTGTAGTCACAAACCCTTTGAAAGCCCTCTACAATTTCCAGAGCACTATACCGCCCATCTCATCCATTCATTCCGCATGCATTTCTCGGGTAGGACAGTACCAGGGCATCCAATCTGAGATTGCACAACAGACAGTGCCCCAGAAGCAGCAGCAGCAGCATCCACTGTCGACCTCAGAGCTGCGGGGATTCAGTCCGCTCACAGTCACCTGAAGTGCACGCTATTTTCCAGCAGGGGGCGGCCGCGGCCCAATTCGTGCCTTCTCTGCAGACGCACACTAGCCTAAGGTGGTGATTCTTCAAGACTAAGGAGGAAATCCAGACTCTCGAACTTCAGGGTGAGCAGCTAATTGCAATCTTTATGAAAGACTTCATGAACTGAAAAAGATCCGTAGGACAGATGGACCCTAAAAATCTCAGTGAGGGAAACAGATGCTTACTCAGGTTTGGGAAATGATCCTCAGCTCCTGACTTTGGGTCCTGATCCTCTGGTGTCTGCAGTCCCCAAGAAGGCCTGCTTGGCTCTACAGCTCCCGCAAGGGCGGGCTTCAGAAAGCCAGTCCCACTGTGAAACCCGAGCAGGAACCACATTGTTGTTAAGGAGTCCCCATGCCCTACACGAATAGGTTTCTAGTTCTAGTTAAGAATAAGTTTCTGTTCCCTAAACCTGGTGTACCACACAAAACATGTTTTTAAACCGGGCGGTGATGGTGCACGCCTTGAATCCCTGCGCTCAGGAGGCACGGGCAGGTGAGTTGGAGGCCAGCCAGGTCTACAGAGGCAAGTTCCAGGACAAGCAGCACTACACTAAGAAATTCAGTCTCAAAAAAACAAAACCAAGCAAACATAGTTTTAAACCTACACTGAACTCGTGACCCCTTGATGCATGGCTATGCTTTGCCTTACAAAATGGTTTCAGGGTACCTTGATCTAAACCCTTGACCACCTACCCCACGATGTATAATTTTGCTTTTATTCTTTTTCATTGTGTTTTTCTCACAGCCCCTGTAAACACACTTACAGCTGTTTTCTACTAACCTTGTAGCTCTTTCCTATAAAGGGGACCTCAAAAAGCTAGCCCCACAACTGCTCTCTCAAATCCCGACTTGGGATGCACCTCTAAAATAAGGCCTGCTTTACTTGGTTAATCATCGTGGGATTGGTCTTTCTCCTCGCATATTTGGAATTAACACTACCAGCACCGGGAGCTCTGTGGGCTGGGGAGGTCGCCAGGCAGGACCGGGAGTAGAGTTTATTTTTAGCTGCTACAGTGAGCCTCAACCTTATTTAGACATGGGACGGGTGGGCGGGCAAGCGGGTGACAGGGTGAGCTGGAGGCTGCAGGACGGAGAGGTCTCCAGCTCCTCTTACCATTGCTCTGCCCTGCCCACCCCGGCTTACAATCCTTCCTGGGAGGCTAGAAACAGCAGCCCTTGCTGGCTGTCCCTAGTGCCACGATGCTCTGCAACCTGCCTTGCTTCTTCACCAACACTTGGCGCTCCTCTATCCCCCCCCCCACACACACCCAGGACTGGGTGCTGTCCCTTCTTATTCTGGTGGTTAGAGTTCAACTCATGGAATTCTACAGATCTAGGTTCAAATCCCCTGGATGACCTACCCTCTTGAAACCCAAGCTGGCTTCTCCGACAGTTTCTCAACACAGTAGAGCCTCCCACACGCTAGGCAAGCACTTAGTCCCAGGGCCTAAACTGCTGCTTCACCATCCCACCTCCCTCGTTGGTGCTGAAGATTGAAAGTCACTGAGTAGACATAGAATCTAGCCGATCAAGGTCGGTCCTCAGTTGGTGATGGAGATTGAAGTCATGGGCCTTGTTACAGGGAGCATCAGGAGTATGAATTCATGAAGCAATGTTCAGAGAAGGGGATTTGGGGAGGTGATTAGAACATGAGGCTCTGACCTCATCAGTGATAAAATTTACTGAAGGGATCTTAATCTGCCTATTGGGAAGCAGTGGGCAAGGGAATTGGGACCTAACTGAAGGGAGTGGCCCTGGGAGGCTGCTATGATTTGAATATGAAATGCCCCCAACTGGGTCAAATGTTTGAACCAGCAGGTGGCCCTGTTTGGGGCTGTTGTTGATCTTTCAGAATGTGAGGCCTGGAGGAAGTAGCTAGCTAGGTGACAGGCTTGAGGGCTATGGCCTGACTGCACTTCCTGCAGGAGCCTTCGTGGCTTCCTGGTCAGTCACCATGTGAGGGTTGTGGCCACCAGGAACTCTGTGCCACGATCTCTGCTGCGCCTTCCTTGCCATGCTGAATTCCATCACCACCATT